AATCCTACCTTGTACTTTATATAATTAATTATTATTCATTTTTAGAAACCCTAAAGAATTAATTGCTTGATCTGAAACGTTGGCAGTTTGAAAACACCCAAAGATGTCTTTAGTTTTTTCCCTTTCATTTGTTTATTTCTGTGAGCTTAAAAATCATTCTTGTTTTTATTTGTACACATTTTATTTTATAGCATTGCAGTTACCATGTCATTTGATCATTCCTACACGCTTGTTTCTAATTTATAATACTTTAATTTATAATACTCTAATTTATAATACTTTAAAAAACCAGTCTTTGGAACCACTTATAGAACATAGTTCTACATGTACCCACAAACAGCTGCCATGAATCACAATCAACCTATTAGCTACTGATTTTGTTTTGGTTTTTAATAAAATAACAATATAAGATTAAAACATAAATTTAAGGGAGCTCTGGTGACCTAGTGGCAAGAAGCTGCACTGCAATCCCAGAGGTACACGGTTCGAATCCACCAGATGCTCTGCTGGAGAAGGAGGGGCAATCTCCTCCTGTACCAGTCAGATCTGATTTGACAGTCCACACACGCACAAAATACTAAAGTAAAATAAAAATTAAAAAAACCCCCAAAACATTAAAAAAAGTGAGATGTTCAATCTCATTTTAATTATGTCTTTGTTAAAGGGACATGCTGATGAAGTATTTGTTTTGGAGACACATCCCTTTGATTCCAGAATTATGTTATCTGCAGGACATGATGGAAGCATATTTATATGGGATATTACAAAAGGCACCAAGATGAAACATTACTTTAACGTGGTAAGAAGAGTAAGACCTTTTTTATACATGCTTGCTTTATTTATAACTATTTGAATTTTGATGTTAATTCAGAAATCGAGCCTCTGCATGTTTTTGTCGTTTGTTTATAGAAATCTGGTTTCCTGAAAGTAAATAAATACCTGATAAACACAAGTAATGGACGTATAATACACGTTTTTACATATAATACATGAAATTTTCTATGTAACTGATTTATAGGCAAGAAATAATTGGTGAACAGATTTTTTCTCCTAAATTGTGTTGTAGATGAAAATTTACATAGCACATTAGATTCATATTTTTGCATGGATTATTCTGTAACATTGGTTTTAATTTTTGCAGTGTGGAGTATTTCCATTTATAAAGGTATCTCGTCTCTTCCGTTAGCTTTGGTTGTTCAGATAAAACCTTAATTTGTCTATTTATAGAGTTGATTCTTTAGGGGAGCACACATTCCTCACAGATAATAGTTTATTTAGTAAGGCAGTTTAGTAATAGGCTAAAAGGTGACTTCCAGTAGATGTTTCATATGTTAGAAAGGTATATCTTAAGAGTAGTAGTTGAAGAGTTATGGAGCAGCTCTCTTGTTTCTTTTAGATTGTAAAGTCTGGTCTTTATTTGAAATTTTGTTCTAAATTTTTGCTTCTTTGAGAATTGATACTTTGATAAAAATGTTAGATAGTAGTGCCTGTGAGCATGTAATATGTGGGGAAATGTGCTACTGATCTCAGGCCAGAAGAGGTGATTTGTGTTAGTTGTTAGCCCTGTTTATGAATTTGTTTTATGAGTCTTTTGTATTTCTCTCTTTGCTTCAGAGTGGAACAAAAATTGCTACTTAATAAACTATGATGTAGAACATTTTTTTTTTGTGAAGTATGTAATTAATGCCAGTTGACTGGAATATTCCATAAAAATGTGGTTAAAGCCCCTTAACACAGTAAACCAATTCTGTAAGATACCTGGAATGATTGGAATATCGCTGTGACTTTGCCCATTATGTATTTTATTATATACATGAATGTAGCTATAGAACATACATAATGTATAAATAATTCCTGCAAATAGAAATTTGAATGTGCATGTACTTGAACATACCTTTCTATACATGCACAGCATACATGTTTACCTTTGTAACAGCATAGATTTTTTTTTTCTTGTTAAAACTATTGTTTGCAAAGTCATGTATGTTAGAACATTTACCATAATCAGCCTTTATTTTTGTGCATCTTTAAATATCTTCATTTATCTTGGGCAAATTGTACTCATTAATTTCCATTATGTTGTGTATTGCCTTTCTAGTCAGCAGAAATTTCTGGTATCTAGTCAGCCTGAGTTGTACTCTTTAGCATGTTGTGCTTTTAACCAAAAAGTTGTGTACCTCTTGTGGTTCAGATCCATCAGGGGCTCCTTGACAATCTTTTCCTGATTTATTGCTATGAAATTCAGTAGATAGATGATCACTTAACTATGAGTTGGAATCAATTTCATGGCAGAAAATTTGTCACACAGCATGTTATTTCCCCTTTGGTCCGTTAGTTGTTAAGTGACTCTGTGAACAGTAGATCTGAATCATGCCCTGTCTTTCACCATCATTCTCATCTCTGATGTACTTGATCTCATTGTAGCAGCCATTGTATCATGCCATGTCCTTCAGTCTTCTCTGTTTTGCGGTCATGACTGCTCACTTTTCCAAGCAATAGCATCTTCTAGTGACATGTCCAAAGTATATGAGCTGAAGCTTCATATCCTGGCCTCAATGGAGCACCGGCTGCATTTTCTGCTAGACGTAATTATTCTCTAGCAGTCAGTACTGTTCTCCCACACCACAACTGAAAGGCATTAGTCCTCCTTCTGTTACCCTTATTCATTGTCCTGCTCTCAGATACCTTGCAGGTGACTGAAAAGACCAAGGTTTGAATCAGGCACACCTTAATCTTTAAGCTAACATCATTGCTCGTTGGTACATTGGAAAGGTCCCTGACAGCTAACTTTATACGTCTTGTGACTACTTGACTGCTGATATCTGTAGTGTTGATTGTGGACCCAAGCAAGATGAAATTATTGATAACTTCATTCTTTTCTCCACCTGTCATGATGGTGCTTATGGGCCCAGTGATGCGGATCTTTGTTTTCTTCATGTTGAGATGTAATCCATATGGAAGGTCTTTGATTTTTCAAGACATCTTTACTTTAAATAAGCAAGATTTTGTCATTCATCCCTAGTAACCATAAAAATTATTGCTTCTGTGTATATACCTATTCTTGACTTTTTATATAAAAATGAGACTATACATACTTGTTTTTTGTGATTATCTTGTATTACTCAATGTAATGTTCTGCAGCTTAATCTATATTAGAAGATGTTTGGAAGACTTAACTGTTACTTTTTTTTTTTTAATTGCCCAAGTTGTCTTTCTATAAAGAAAAAGTCTGGCTGGATTTTAATGCCATTTATCAGTTTTAATTATAGATCTTGTTTTTTAAAAAAGCATATATAATCATTGTGTTGGCTAAATGTCCTAGTACTGTTAGTCTTTTTTTATTGGAATATCTTTTTTTTTTAAATGTATTTTTATTGGTTTGCATACATTCATTCATATGCATTGTGTTTCATGCATACAGTCTTTCATATACATTGTATTTTATTCATGTACATCGTGGGTTGCCCCCCTTAAAATCATCTTACTAATAACTATAATCTTGGAAGTGTGTAAGCTAGGTATTTAGTGCTGCTTACCTTAATCGCCATACTATTTCGTTTTTTTACTCCCTATTTTAGATCACCAATTTCTTATTTGCCCATCCCTATAAAAGTAGTACTCTGTAGGGATCAAACAGCCCTTTTAGTGAAGCATCATCTGTTCAATTTAAGAACTTTGAGCATCAAGCCATCAGGTTGCATCAGTTAACACTAGCTCACAGCATGAAATCATCTTCTCTTCTTCTACTTGGGTTTGGGTAAACTCATCCCCAGCCATCTGTGGCTAGGTTCAAATGGGCATCAGGGAAAAACTTGAGTCCACATTTCTCTCTGTATTCCAGACCTGTTGGTCCTCAGTCTCACATAGGGCTGAGCCAGTGAGCCAGATGTCTTCATGACTCCCTCCTCTTCAAGCCAGCAACCCATTTTTCCTTCTCTATACATCTCTGCATGCTAGGTGGACAATGCTGAAGCTCTCAGCCTAATTCTTCATTGTTGTATTCCTCCTACTTCCACACTGGTGGGTCCAGGTAATTGCCAGCTCCCTTTAACTTTACCTCCCTTTAAGTCCTGGAATTGGGCTCTGATGGATACCACCTTTACTCTGTCTCATTACATACTAAATTTACAGTCATGGCCTCATAGGCTATTTCCATCCTTTTTGCTTTTGTGGATAATATATTTACTGATATAATTGCTCTTACATATCTAGAATATTTACTTATAGATAGGGTTGCTACATCATAAGTTATTTCTATAAGTTAAGGTTTTTTAAGGAAGTGCTATGCCATTTTCCATAGTGATAGTACCTCATTACTAATCTCATAACCACACCTGCATTTGTTTTCTGTTGTTTTTTTTTTCATCAGTTCCAGTTTTACAGGGGTAGTGTTATGGTTGTCTTCAGTTTTTCCTGATGTTTTTCTTAGTTAGATTGTGTTACACATTATTCTTTTTTTTTTTTTTTATGGAATAAAACATAAATGGTGTTGTCCTTCATCTGTGATAGCAGGACGCACACATGAGATTTATTTGTCTTGATACTGGGATTATAACAACTTACTCTGTCATATTTCCCCAATAGAATTATTTTATCCTTTGAGACTTTTCTCCACACAGATTTTGGCATTCATTGATGATTTTCTAGTGGCATTTTTGCTTTTAAGTTTATTACTTGGTAGTTTTGGATTATTTTTTTTTAAAAAAATAATTGCTTTTAAGTCAGAACCTGACTTATAGCTGATCCTCCATTGGGCCCCAAGGCTGTAAACTACCTGGGAGGAGATTGCTGTCTTTCTCTTTAGGAGCTGCTGCTAGACTCGGACACGGCATCCATTTAAAAAAAAAAATAGCTAGCCTCCAAAAACTGTGAACTTGGAGAAAAGATGAAAGTTTTGTGTTCAAGACTTTAGTTGATAGGGTTGCTACAGGTCATCTGCAACTCTACAGCACTTAACAAGTGCCATGGTCTCAAGGCTTCTAGCTGTCTCTGTTAGTCCTTTGCATTTGAACTTTGTTTTTACATCCCTCCCCCCTTAGGTCTTTTTTTAGGGTGATCAGCAGTGCTAGGTAGGCACTATTTAGTTTGTCTGGTTTCATATTGTAGAAATTGAGGTTTGTTTGGCCCATGGACCCTTTGGACTACTTCTTTCTGGGTATCTTTGCTTTTTGTCCCTCTTTACTGCCTGATGAGAGGCTTGTAGTTCCTATTTAGAAGCCTTGAATATTTTAAAGATACTAGTTTAGACCTTTTATTATTATTTTTTTAAAGACTATTAATACTTTAGATTTTGTTGTTACTGAGATTGTATGCAGGAAAATATACATCAAAATGCACACATTTCTCATAATTAATGACAGATTACTTTCTTTTAGCTATGCAACCATTCTCACTCTCCTTTCTGAGCTGTTTTCCCATAGTAATATAAACTGATTACCCCTTAAAGGTTCTGCTTAATATTTTGAGTTGTTGTTACTTTGATCCTATATTGTGAGTTGTTCAAAGAGCAAATATTTAGGGCGAAGGGCCCCCCTCCCCTTATTTAAGCTGCATTTGTTTGACTTCATGAGGAAAGAAGGGCAGTCTCCTCCCTTCTGGTTTTGTTATTGTTAACGCTGCTGTTGAGTACAACTCATAGCAACCCTATGAACAACAAATCTGAACCCTGTTCTTCCCCATCATCATCCCTAACACATTTTAGCCCATTGCTGCAGTTAATGTGTCCATCCTTCTTGTTGGAGATCTTCCTCTCTTTTGTTGACCCTCTACCTTTGTGAGTTTGATACCCCTTTCCAAGGGGTAGCTTCTCCTGACAAAATGCCCAGTTTGTGGGGCTAAGCTTTACCATCTTTGCCTCCAAGGAGCACTTTGGCTGAACTTTTTCTAAGATACACCATTTGTTCTCTTGACAGTCCATAAGACACTCAGTACTTTTCTTTATAACTCAAAGGCTCTTCTTCTGTCATCCTTATTTATTGCCCAGCTGTCAGATACATAGCGAATGATTGGAAAGGCCATGGCCTGAATCAGGTGTATCTTAGTCTTCAAATTGACATTGCTCTTCAGGATTTTGGAGAGGTTCCTGACAGCCAGCCTTGCCAATGGAGGTTTGCTAAGAGTCTGAAGTGACAATAGCTTTAAAATTTTGAATAAAGCTCATCTTGAAATGAGCTTTAGTTTTGAGTATTATTTGACTTAATTGTGTGAAACCAAAATTGTGAGCATAACAAATACATAATTTTTCCCTCCTAGGCTAGCAATATGACTCTTACCTTCTTCAGCTAGTTAGAACACTGGGGTTTCACAGAGTTATCTTTACTTTTTCATTATATACAGTGAAATCTTTGAGAGCTAAAACTCAAAGTGGTGTTTTTAATGTCCTCTGTGTTTCCATCTTTGACATGGTACATTCTTAACTACTTTTTAAAATTGTAAAATACTTGGAGTTTTCCTTTTCTGACAGGATTTTGCTTTATACATGTTTAACTTTTGAAACTTAAAGCCTGTATATAAAAAGTTTATGAAATTTCCTATTATTCAGTAATACAAAGTAAAGATATATTTTTGGGTTGATAGGACCATTCATTGAGATTATTTTTAGGACTAATGCTCAGAAGATCTTTTAAGATCCTTTCTAGGTTATTGATATCTAAAGTGAATTTTATTTTCTAAAATTATAAATTGATGTATATGATTAATGAAACATTGAAAAACATCCTCCACCTAATGAAGTATAACAGGCTGTCCAAGTGAAGAAAGTTTACATAGCAGAGCATCTGCATAGAATTGGGGTTAACGCTCTTTCACCTCCTGTGGCCATTGCCGAAACGGCAGCAGCCAAAATAAATGAAGTTCAATCCTTTTGTGACTTCTAACCAGAGCAGAAACCATAAAAGGCATTTTAGTGCACCCTCTCACGTTCGAAGGAAGGTTAAGTCTTCTTTTCTGTCCAAGGAGCTGAGGCAGAAATACAAAGTGTGGTCCATGGCCATACGAAAGGATGATGTTCACGTTGTACGAGGGTGCTATAAAGGTCAGCAAACTGGCAAAGTAGTCCAGGTTTACAAGAAGAAATATGTCATCTACATTGAACAAGTGCAATGAGAAAAAGCTAATGGCACAATGATCCATGTGGGCATACACCCCAGCAAGGTGGTTATCACTAAGCTAAAACTGGATAAGATCTTTGAACGTAAAGCCAAAACTTGCCAAGTTGGAAAAGAAAAAGGCAAATACAAAGAAGAAACAATTGAGAAGATGCAGGAGTAAAATATTATTAACACAACTTCATTAAAAACTAAAAATGGGGGAAAAAAAAAGAATTGGGGTTAACTTCTATTTCTGTTTCCTAGATCGAAGGACAAGGATTTGGAGCTGTGTTTGACTGTAAGTTTTCACAGGATGGACAACATTTTGCTTGTACAGATTCGCATGGGCACCTTATGATATTTGGTTTTGGATGCAGCAAACCGTATGAAAAGGTCATTTTAATTACTTTATTTTAGCATGTAAATAGTTTTGGGAGAAATTTTGGAAGTAGTTTTTTCACTATACTAATTTGATTCTCGATTTTTTTTCATTCATTATGATAATAGTTTAATATATTTTTCTTTAACATAAATTAGCCTAAAAATTACCAATCTGTGTATTTTATTTTTCTAGATTCCTGATCAGATGTTCTTCCATACTGACTATCGACCACTTATTAGAGACTCTAATAATTACGTGTTAGATGAGCAAACCCAACAGGCTCCTCATCTTATGCCTCCACCATTCTTGGTAGATGTAGATGGAAATCCTCATCCAACTAAGTATCAGAGATTAGTACCAGGCCGAGAAAATTCTGCAGATGAACATTTGGTTCCACAGCTGGGTTATGTAGCAACAAGTAAGTGTGAACTCAGCTATATTTTTTTTTTAAATTTAAATAATATAAATAACTTTCTTTAGACTCATTAGTCACTACTATTTTGCACTAAGTTATATTATTTTTTATATATTTTGAATTATTTGAAATTAATTTGTAGACATCATGCCCCTTAGCACCTAAATTCATTACTTTGTAGTCTCTGAAAACAAAAATGTCCTCTGTAACAGTTATTAAATTCAGAATGCTTAACAATCAAAACTATCATAATTAAGTCTATTACCTAATCAGATGTTGCTAGTTATTCCCATAATTCTTTCATATTTCTTCCTCATACTGAGCTCAGTTTTAAATTATACATTAAATTTTGTTGTTATATTTTTAATCTCCTTTAGTGGAATAGGTGCTGTTAAGTTTTATCCCTCTTTGGTGATAATTGCTAATTTGAAGTGTATAGGTTGGGAATTTTGTAAAATATATAGACTGGGAATTTTGTGAAATATATCTTGATTTAAGGTTTTTTTTTTTTTTTAAATTTCTTGAGATTTTAATGAAAGTTTATAGAGAATTTGGATTTCCATTCATTCATTCATTGTCACACATTTTCCTGCCTGTCATCCTCCCAATTCGCTTTTTTCCTTGGAAAAAAATTCTTTCATTATTATTCAGACCCACCTTCCTGCTCCCCAGTCTGCTATACTATGCATCTCTTATTCTGGACTCTTGTCATGCCAATAAGACCTAACCATATACTCTTTTTATACAGTTTTCTCCCTTATCTGTTTCAGTGCTGTGTACATTGTTTATCCCCTCCTTTCTTAAAATTTCCCCCCGACCCCCATGTCAGTCCTGTTTTATAAACAGTGGCATTATGCAGAATTTGTGTTTTTGTGACCAAGATTTTCACTCAGCATAATGTCCTCCATAGTCACCCATTTTGTATAATATTTCATGAGTTCTTTGTTTTTCAGTGCTGCATAATATTTCGTTGTGTGAATATACCACAGTTTCTCTCTCCATTCATTTGTTGATGGGCATTTGGATTGTTTCTGGCTCTTTCCAATTGTGAACAAAGCAGAAATAAACATGGATGTGCATAGAGTTGTATTATTTTTTTAAAATTAACTTCACATTATACATACGGATTACAGCATCGACAATTAGGCCTTCCTGAAACATAATACCAAAATGCTTCTGGATTGTTCATTGTTCACAGTCTTATCTTTGGATAGTTCTTTAAAGTGTTGTTTGCTGTATTTCTTCATTTTCTTCTAAGTTTACTATTTTTTTCTCTCTTTGTGATTAGCAGGTATTATTAATTTACAGAGAAATAATATGTAAATATCTATTCCCTACTTGTAGTTCATAAGGGAGTTCTGATGACCTGTCCATAGCGAGTTGCTCTACTAATTCAAATGCTTCTTTACGGTTCAAATCCATCAGCAGAAAGTTGGACAGTCTCTTTCTGTGCGAATTATAGTCTCTGACAACCTGCTGGATGAGTCTGTCTGGTTTGATGGTCGGCTGTTTCAGTTTTTAATCAAACCATTACCCACAAGTTTCAGAGCCCATGGTCGATTTTTGTCAGTAGTTAGGAAGGATGCAAAATGCTTATTTTCTGATTATACCATGGTTTGTACACACATTTGCTGATCATTCACTTGTTATAATCTCTTGTTTATGTGGTTCATGAAATACTGTGTGGATTTAGGAGTGGTTTTGTTGTTGTTAGATATACCATTGAGTCAAGTGTGAACCCTAGGGACCCTGTGAACTACATATCTGAACATTGCCTATCATGTACCATCCTCCCAGTCTCTATCATACCTAACCTTATTGATGTAGTCACTGTGTCAGTCTTGATAAGAGTCTTCTTGTCTTTGGCTGACTTTTTTCAGCATGAAGAGTCTCTTCAATGACTGGATCCTCCTGAAAATATGCCCAAAGTATGTGAGATGAAGTTTGACTATCTTTGCCTCAGAGAATCACCTTGTTGGTACTTCCTTCAGAACAGATTTTTTTGCTCTTTTGGTATTCAGTACTTTTTTTGCCAACACCATAAATAAACGACCTCAATTCTTCTTTTGACGTACAAAGATAAATAAGAAGCAGTTGATGCTTTGGCTTGGATCAGGTACTTCTTTGTCTTTAAATGTAAATCTTTGCTCTTTAGCACTTTGGAGACATTGTTGACAGCAGATTTCCCTCAGTGCAACATGTCTTTTGATTTCTTCTATGCTGCTACCATGATTGTTGATAGTAGACCCAAGTAAAGTGAAGTAATTCATTATTGTTAGTTGGTACTCAAATTATACTAGATTTGACTATGAGAGCTTCTTCAAACTGGCTCTTGGGGTCTTGACCCAAGTTTCTATCTTGAGAACTATTCTCTGGTATAAGAAGTTCTAGGGTTTATTTGGCCTTGGCAAGTGTGTAGTTTTTTTTTTCATAGTTGTGTAATGTTTCTTCATACAGATTTAAGCAAGAGGGAAATTTCTGCTATCTTCTTTGGATCTGGATAACAAACTAAATCACTTATTTACAAGGTTACATACAGAGCTTGATGAATGCACTATAGGTTGTTGAAAGTATTAATTTTACTTTCCATTAACTCATAATTTATACAATAATAATGCATAACTCGTAATTCATAAGTAACAAAATTTACTTATATTCAAACATAAAATTCAAGTACATTTTAGCAGATGTTATGCGATCATGTAGCTGCTTTCACAGTAAAAATATAGACCATTTTCACCACCCCAAAACATCCTCTCTTTCGCTGATGAAGTCTCCAAAGGATAATGTCACTCCCAGGAATAATCCTCCTCCTTTTTTTCCCCTCTCATTTTTTTAAATATTTTAATGAAAATTGAGATTTTGGATTTCCATTCATTCATGGTAGCACTTTTCTCCCTCTCTACCCCTCCCCTCCAGTTCATTCTTCTCTTTGAAAAGTAAAAGAAAAAATCTTTCATTGTTACACAATCACTCCCCCCAATCACTCCCTTTGTTCTGGACTCATGGCATGACAGTAATGTCTAATCATATATACCTTTTAAACAGTTCTCCCATCTTTTTCAGTGCAGTATACATAATTTATCTTATCTTTTTCAGTCTTCCCCCAAGCCCCAGTGTCAGTCCTGTTTTACGACAGTGGCACTATACAGTATTTATCCTTTTGTGACTTAGATATTTTACTCAGCATAATGCCCTACAAGGCCACCCATTTTGAATAATATTTCATGAGTTCCTTGTTTTTCAGTGCAACGTTGTATTCCGTTGTATGAATATACCAGATCTTCTCTATCCATTCATTTGTTGATGGGCACTTAGGTTGTTTCCAACTCTTGCTACTGTGAACAAAGCCACAATAAACATGGGTGTGCATATATTTTCTTGGATGCTGGTAATGGTTTTTTTGGGGTGTATTCCAAGTAGTGGAATTGCTGAATGAAATTATATTTCTATTTGCAACTTTTTGAGAAAGCGCCATACTGCTTTCCATAGTAGTTGCACCATTTTACATTCCTACCAACAGTGAAGTGGATAAGGGTTCCAGTTTCCCCACAACCTCGCCAGCATTTGTTGTTTGCTGTTCTCTTAAATTTTGCTATTCTGACTGGGGTGAGGTGACATCTCATAGTTGTTTTGATCTGCATCTCTCTTAGAGCTAGGAATTTTGAACATTTCTTCATGTGTTTGTGTGCCATCTGAATATCTTCATTGGTGGAGTGTCTGTTCATATCCTCTGCCCATTTTTCATTTGGGTTGTTTACCTTTATTTTATTGTGGTAATCGAGTATTTTATAAATTCTAGATATAAGTCCCTTATCTGACATGCCATTACCAAATACTTTTTCCCAGTCTGTGGCTTTCCTTTTTACCCTGTTGGAGAAGTTTTTGGATGTGCATAGGGATTTGATTCTCAGAAGACAACCTTTCTTAACAGCATGCCTTCAAATTGATAACTGATAACTTGGGGATCTTAATGATGGTAGTTGTGTACTGTCCAGTCAGAGCTGGACTTCCAGAAGCAGTGAATTGCATGGGAGGAGATTGCCCATCTTTTTCCCACCGAGCCTCTGGTGGACTTGAACTGTGTTCCTTTGAGTTGGCAGTGCAGGCCCCCCTTCTTTTTTTAAAACAAAATTGACCTTGTGATAGTGCAGATGTTGAGTAAAAGGATACCAGTTGGCAGCATCAGGATGAATGGCGAAGAGATTGAGATTGTTCACGGCTTTAGTCAGCTTGGCTCCACAGTCAACACTCTCGGCACCAGCAGCCAGGAAATTAAAAGATGTATTGCGATGGGAAAGTCTGCTGTTAGGGACCTCTCTAAAGTACTGAAGAGCAATGGTGTCTCTCTGAAGACTAAGGTGTGTCTGATACAGGCCATGGTCTTTGCTATCACTTGTTATGTGTTAAAGAGTTGGACAGTGACTAAGGAGGATAGAAGGAGAATTGACGCCTTTGAGCTTTGGTGTTGGAAAGGAGTATGGAGGGTTCCATGTACTGTTAAAACAAACAGATTCATCCTGGAGAGGGTTAAACTGGGCTCCTCCTTGGAGGCAAGGATTCTGAGGCTTCGTCTGACATACTTTGGTCATGTTGTAAAGAGAGACTGGTCCTTGGAGAAGGACATCATGCTTAGGAGGGTGGAGGGCTGGTGCAGGAGGGAAAGGCCCTCTAGGAGATGAATTGATTCGGTGACTGGGGTAATTGGGATGAGTGTGTCGGAGACAATGAGATTGGCACAGGACAGAACAGAGTTTAGGGCTGTTGTACATAGGGTTGCTATGAGTCGCAAGCAACTTGACGCCACATGACAACAACAACAACAAACTACCAGCACTGTTTTTTTATTCTTTATTGCCTTGCATACACATCTTTTTTAATATTCTGAGTGTGAAAATTGCAAATATGAAGTAATTCTGCTGTGGTCTGTATTTTAGCTCATAAGAAGTCCTAGTGGCACAGTTATTAAAACTTAGCTGCGAACCAAAAGGTTGATAGTTCAAACCCACTAGTGGTTCTGTGGAGAAACGTGCTCCTCTGAAGGTTACAGCCTTGCAATCTTCTGTAAAGGTAATGGTCTTCTCTGTTATATATAGGGTGAATTGGAATTGATTTCATGACAATGTTTTCATTTGAGGCTTTTTTGGCTAATGCTTCTATGTCAAACACTGGGAATTTTAGGGAAGTTTTTTTTTTTTTTTTTGCTTACTGTTCTTTGATATTTTTGTTTTCCCTTTTCCTCATTCATCTAGTGGAGATTATTTAACCTTTCAGTTTTCAGTCAAAGAATTGACTGGGCCTCTCTGCATCTCCCTGGAGCTTTTTCTCTGTGTACTTCATTCCTCTTTGGTACTCAAGTGTGCTTCTCCTAGCTTTCCTCCTTGTTTTTACTCAAAATCCTGTCCTCTGTCTCTCCAGTCAGTGAGACTCTGACACTCGTTGAGTTTCTTGTCTTTGAGCTGCAGTTTGGAAACTGCCTCAGACAGTATAAACTAGTACAGTCAAGAAAGTCCGTTTTCTTCAGAAAAACACACATTTCCCTCAAGTTAGAACTGACTTAACAGCTGGATTTCAGAGGCTGTAAACGATGTAGGAAGAGATTTCTCCTTTTTCCACCAATAGGGCTGTGGTTAGACTCAGATTGCTAAAGGCTGCCACCTTTGGTTGGCAGCATGGCACCCTAAGAACTGTGCTGTCAGAATTCCCTCCTACTGCCTTGCTTGCTTTATTTTTCATCTTTTGAAGATTATGTATATTTAGTTTTCTAGTGTTCTAGCGTGACAGTATTTTTGGTGGAAGAGCAACTCAAATGTTTGACAAGTGATGTCTATCTAAGTGCTTTGTGCTATGAAAGAAAAGCGATTGAAAGGCAGTTTTTGGCGAAGAACAAAATAGGGGTTTGTTTTTTTTTTAGTTATTTTTTTTTACAGCTTTTTTTAAAATTTGCATTCCATGTCCATGATCCTAACAACATAATTAGGAATTTTTGTTACACATTTTTTTTAAATTTTAAAAATTAAGAAAAGTCTGCTCTTTGCAGATTAAGCCTAGGCTTGTTTTGCAAGGGCAGTTTCTTCAGTGAGTTTAAGAGAAACAATGTTAAAAAAAAGAGATTTTTAATCAGTAGTAATGCTCTTCTGTTCATTTGTTTCCATGGTAAAATTGAGATGTTGTTAGTAAACTAGGGAGTCTAACTCACTGAGATAGAAATATTTATTCCTGCCCCCAAAAAGTACCTGAGACAGAGAGTTCCTAAATTGATTTCCCTCGTGGTATATTATGTTATTCTACACAGCTTTAGTTTGCTTGGCTCCACAATCAACACTCTTGGCACCAGCAGCCAGGAAATTAAAAGGTGCATTGCCGTGGGAAAGTCTGCTGTTAGGGACCGCTCCAAAGTACTGAAGAGCAATGGTGTCTCCCTAGAGACTAAGGTGCGTTTGATACAGGCCATGGTCTTCGCAATCACTTGTTATGCATCAGAGAGTTAGACAATGACCAAGGAGGATAGAAGAAGAATTGATGCCTTTGAGCTGTGGTGCTGGAGAAGAGTACTGAATGTACGTACATGGACTGCCAGGAAAACAACAGATTCATACTGG